TAATTCCAAAATTAGGAAAGGCAGAGTTACTGTTCTTTCCATTGCACTTCTAATCACTGTTATCTATCAACTTACAAAGTTTCTTGTTGATATCTCTTATGGTTTCCGAGTTATGTTCCGGACAAATTCAAAAAGTAAAAATAAACAAATGGCAATAACTCCAGAATTAGGCAAGGCAGAGTTATGATTCTCATGCACTGCACATCTACCCACTGAGATACATCTACCTACAAAGTTTCATGTTGATATCTCTTATAGTTTTACAGCTATGTCCAGTACAAGATTTTTCTACAAGGGGAGATAATTAAAAAATGAGGCTTAACAGAGTTATGGTTTTTTTGCACTGCACTTCCACTCAATGAGATCTATTTACCTACAATGTTTCATCTTGATATCTCTTATAATTTTAGAGTTATGTTCCGGACAAAGTTCAGTGTTAAAATTAACAAAGGGCAATAACTCCAAAATTAGGACAAAAAGAGTTATTGTTCTTATGCACTGCACATCTACCCATTGAGATCTATTCACTTACAAAGTTTCATGTTGATATCTCTTATAGTTTTAGTTATGCCCCGGACAAGATTTTTCTATAAGGGGAGATAATTCAAAAATGAGGCTTAACAGAGTTATGGTTGTTTTGCACTGCCATCTACTCAATGAGATCTATCCACCTACAATGTTTCATCTTGATATCTCTTATAGTTTTAGAGTTATGTTCCGGACAAAGTTCAAAGTGTTGAAATAAACAAAGGGCAATAACTCAAAAATGAGGACAAAAAGAGTTATTGGTCTTATGCACTGCACATCTACCCATTGAGATCTATTCACCTACAAAGTTTCATGTTGATATCTCTTATAGTTTTAGAGTTATGCCCCGGACAAGATTTTTCTATAAGGGGAGATAATTCAAAAACCGGGCAAAGTAGAGTTATGGTTCTTTGACACTGCAGTCCCCCTCAATGCCCTCTACCACTGTATGAAGGTTAAACAAATTATCTCCAAGGGTTTTCAAGTTATGCTCCGGACAAGAAAACGGATGGACAGACGGACGGACGGACAGACGGACAAGGCGCCGACTATATGCTCCCCCGAAATTTTTCGGGGAACATAAAAACACACCTTTTTATCAAAGGGCCATAACTCGGCCAAAAATCATTCAACCGGAAAACCTGTGCAAAACCCGTAGAGGCGACACAAAAATGCGTAGCTATGAAATTTTAGTGAAATGTAAATGAATACGGAAAAATTCTGGAAACTAAGTGATCCCTCGGAAGCATTAATCACAACAAAATAACATAAGAATTGCAGACTCGGTTTGATTGAGTCTGTACATGAGGGATAATGTATAAGTGCAACATCCCTCACGCCCCCTAGCACCGGCTTGAGCGGTACTCAATTCTCAACACTTTATAGTGTTGGCATCAATGATCCCGAAGGACCAGAAAATATAACAACACTGAAGTGAAGTACGGGGCAACTTTTTACGGCTGCCACACGGCACTTGACACCTGCTGTTGTGAAGTACAAAATTCTGGAAACTAAGTGATCCCTCGGAAGCATTAATCACAACAAAATTACATAAGAATTGCAGACTCGGTTTGAAGTTCTGCTAACGCAAAAAGTTACGTTCAAACTCGAGATACGATAACTTAAGTACGTTAGTGAAACACACCCCTGATTAGATAATCAATCAGATTGTTGCTGACTCATCAATATCATAACTTCTATTCTATAACTACTATTATAATATCATGAATTGCTAATTATCATTGAAACAATTCAAAGTCAGGCTTTAAAGTAAGAAGAATTTATATAATTTATGCATTTTTATTTACATACCCATGTATTGTAGAACACTTTTAATGACAAATTCAGGATAAAATTTTCATGTATCAAATATATTACAATAACAAAAACATGATCATCAATTATTTCAACATGATGACTTTAACATGATAGCAACATGATACAATCTTTACCGCAAGCAGCTTGCAAAATTTATACTATAAATAAACTTCAAATAAAAATTTTACCAATTACAGTACACATATACATTCATATAACTCAACATAGAAACATTTTCTCTAATCTAATTAATCATACACAACAATTCATTCGTTCATTTACTATTTACAGATACAACCTACCAGCCAGAAGACAAGATTATTTTACGTAATATTTAAAAACATGCGTATTTATGTTGTTCATCAAAAGATGACAAATAGCGGAGATAAAATTATTACAACCCTTACATGGCTCTATTTGACAAATGGACTTGTCTTGAGTTGTAAACTTTGTTCTTTGTGACAGTTTTATTTATGTATCAATGTAATTGAGCTACCAACAGCATAGATGATCAGACTGCATGGATTTACAAACTGGCCTGGATCTTTATTAGCGGTAGGGCTTCACAGCTAGTTTGTTCTAACAAAAGATCACAAATAGTGGAGATAAAATTATTTTAACCCTTACATGGTTCTTATTGACAAATAGACTGGTCTGAAGTTGTAAACTGTGTCCTTTGTGACAGTTTTATTTTTATATCAAAATAATTGTGAAATTGAGCTACCAGCACCATAGACACAGATCAGACTGCATGGATTTACAAACTGGTCTGGTAGAGCCACAGAACAAGTTTGTTCTTGCAAACTAGAATATATAATTTTATAAAATTCAAGTTGCTGAATATGTGAAATCGATTAGCCCTCTTTTGAGTCTGAAAATGCAAAAACTAACCAGCAATCAGTATAGAGCCTGGTCAGACTGCATGATAGTGCAGAATGGCCTGACTCTATACTGTTGGCATGGCGTACCGTTTTTGTCTCAACAGGTTAAGCTTAGTAAGAACTGACAATAATTTAACATTTTCCTGTTACCACCTTGACAATTGATCATATGGAATATTTACAATCCTTCTTTTTTCACAAAAAAATTTAATATGGCATTAAAAGGACTTTCAAAACCATAAAAAAAATCAGTGAAAAGACTTGAAATCAAAATTTTTCCATTAAAGTACATGTATATTTACTACAAAATAGATACTATGAGTCATTTAGCACTTTTCAAACTGACCTAGACCTGAGTTTTCTTGACCATGTACATGTTTTATATCCACACAACATCTATAAATGTTTTCAGTCAGTTACACAGCAATTGTCATCATAAACAACACATCATTCATACTTTCTTTTACTCATGATTTTCATAACCCACACAAAATGCATACATTCATACAAGTTCATTTACAATTTTCAACATAACATTTTTGGTCTTACATATACAACAATGTTCAACAAGTACTCAACATCTGCTAGTAAACATGTTCAAATCATACACAGGTAATCTACACAACATAGCTTAGGAAACAGTCAACACATCTGCTCTCATTTTTATCCAACAATTAAAATCAATAATTTAATCACTTATTCAAATTATTCAAGTTAGTTCAAATAACAACTTTCCAGTCCTTTCAGAACATAAAAACCGGAATTAATTAAATATCATTTATGGAATTTAGATTTAAGCAATATATTTCAAATACAATGTAAAAAAAAATTCGTACATTATAATTAATCTTATAGTTAATATATATTGAAAAAATAATGAGATTTGTTTAAGCATATAATTTACTAGTAGGTCAATCCTCCTTTAAATATTATCTAAATGTACATCACTAAATACTCCCTAAGTTAAAAAATAATTGAAATTGTCATTGAAGTAATTTATTTCCTTTAACTTCCTACTTCCTACTTCTTGAAGTTTCACACCAGATTTGGCATGTTTTTTTTAAATCCTGTTTCACACTTGATGTGACATAACTTTTTAATAACCTAGTTTTCTTTTCACTTGAAGTAACGTAACCCTATAAATTTGTTTGAAACTGAATGATATCCTATTCTTTGACATAGTTTCACACTTGATGTGACCTAATTTCATACTAGATATGACCTACATTATGAAATTTTATGATTGTATTATATTCTATTTGTTGTGCCTTTTGAACAAACTTTAACATAAACCTCACTCGAATTGGCGATATACAATCAAGATTTGTCTCTAATTGAATACTTGTACCTTTTGAATGTACTAGACAGAAGGGTAGGGAGGCGTCATAGTCGCCTGCTACTTTGACAAACAAAGAACTGCTTTGTTGAAGGAGTGGAATAATATTCCCATGAGACGGATAGATTTATGCACGTTTGAACTCCATGTTGATAGAATCAAGGCTGCGTCAAATATGCAAGGAGGGCATTCCAGATATGAAAAGTGGGCCAATTTCATATTCATATTAAAAGTAGAGTACTGTATCACCAAATTTACTTCAATTACTAGTGATTTACTGGCTAGAATCTAATGTAACTTCAATGATTTGTTGAGTAAAGATTAATTGTTAACCTAGATCATTCAAAAATGTATACTTACGTTATATACTTAGTAGTTTCTTTTCTTGTATACATATACATGTATATCAAGAACATGTATATGTTTCTGTTATCATATTTTAAAATCATTCAAAGTTTGAATAAATGCTGTGAGTTTTCATTCCGTTTATAATTATGTCTTTAAAAAGCTGTATCAAATGTCCTTCAAATCTATGGCTGTTTTCCCGAATTTGCTATACATTTTACAATAAATCTGCACAACATTAAGATTTATACAGGAATTAAGACTGATAGCCTAAAACAACTAGGTAAAACTCATGTAACTAGGGTAGGTAGGTTTAAAAACACGCATCTTCTTGCATAAATCTGTGCAACTGTTGATAAAATCGATTTTTGTTATCAACAAATACATTGATAACCCCGCAGTTATCGAGCTGAGCCTGTTCTAGTTACATTTGTACATTGTACTTTATATGACATCCGACTAAAATGGTAGGTAAAGTTTACATTATGTTATTACATATTTTTCTTTTATGTTAATATTATCTTCCCAATTTTGATTAATTATTATATCTTGTTGTATTGTTACCATGATATCTTATTTTGTTGCATGTTTGTCCGTATAATATTTGTTTACTTGACAAATATAGCGATTCTTCCTGTTCTAGTCACATCTGATGAACAGACAAGTTAGAATAGAAAGAGATATTTCCTCTATAGTGTAAAATTGATTCTCTTCTTCATTTTTTTATATTTTAAACACAGCGGATGTAGTATTTTTAAAAGAAATCATGCCTACAAAAGTCTACAGATGAATCTAAATGTGCAGGGATAAATAAACCAAACTATTCCATTTTCAGAGAAATGTTCCAAAAATGACAATGTTATGGTAGATATAAGACACAAGTGTCTGTATTTATATCGCTGCAATGAGTCTTCAACACGATATAGAGAAAACAGGGTACCGAAACTGGGTCAAAGGTGGATTGGCGTATAAATATCTCAGACAGGGTATAGCAGATTTCACCGATTATGCGGTTAAGAAGGAACATGAAAGAATTCTTTCAACAATAAAACACATACCTGGGACCTTGTGTAACTCTTGTTTTCTTAGAAGTCTGAGACCTTTACATGTGTGCAAGGTAAATCATAATGGCAAAAATAAATGTCCTTTTGACATAAAAGGATGTGGCTGTTTTTGTCCAAAGAATACATTCCCCTGTCCTGCTAACATCTGTGATGCTATTCATAAAGAAATAATAAATTGCCATGGCTCCATGCCCCCTGATCCTAACTGGAAAAATACAGCCCTACATAAATGGTGTACCAGTCCATGGGAGATTGGAAAATGTTATATCAAAGCTCCGGGATATACAAAGATGAAAAAGGCAGTAGATATAGACATAGCAGGATTGCTTCATGTATTAATAAACAACATTAGTCTCAAATCTCATCTGTCAGATACATTGAACAGCAGCGGGATGCTTGAAAAGGTAAATTATGTTAACATCTTTAGCTCATTTGTATGATTTGTAAAGAGCTAATCCTACAACTTTTGGGACGACTATAAAATATAATGCTACATACTAGTAAACTTTGTTCAAACGATATATTGTTAAAGTTAAATATTGTACCACCTCTCCTACATGCGTAATGAGTAATTGAGGTAGCATGTTGCAAAAAAGCATGATAATACCAAACATTACACTATATAAGACTTGTAATTATTTGGAAGGAAACGTCACGATACAACAGATAACTGAATAATAGTTGTATACATGCATATTATTCTTTTGGACACGAATTTGAAATAAATAGTCCCTATCTCTGGTACTAATAAAATCTTAATCTCAAGACATGAAAATTGTACTCAAGCTGTTCTTATTAAATTATGACAAAACTCGAAATAAAACAAACGTACTTTAAAATTAATGAAGTTTGAACTAGTGTGATTGTTGTTTTTCATTGTTGGAAATTTTTGTACTAGTATTGTACTCTTATATTTAGACACTGCACGGAAGAAATAATCTATGCCATTCTGCAAACATGGAGCTTGATGAATCTGAACTGAATGATATTATAGATGATATGATAAGAATACTTGAGGACAGTGAGGAACTGGGAGCAAGGTGTGATGCAAAAGAAGCGATCGCTAATTTAAATCAGGTAATCTAAAGATACTCTTTTGTACTTGCCAAAAGTACCGTATGATACAAAGCATGATTAGTCACTAAGATTATGTTTGGTTTTATCAATAAGCATGTATCAGATGTTATTGTTTTGGAAGCCCTTATATCTTGGATGATCATTTTTAGAAAAGTGTAAAGCATTATATAGCCAATGTAATTTGATTAATCTTTAAGCAAGATCTAGCTATAAGTAATGATTACAATAGTAGGATAGTAACACTAAGAAAAAAGCTAACAATCCTCCTCAACAACCTCTTCCGTCCGATTTCGTTAAAAAACTATTGTATTAACAAACGATTCGATCAGACGTCATGTTTCGAATAACAAAAGGAGAATGTTAAGGACTTTTTGTCGTTAGAACTCATATCGGCAGGACAGAGAGAGTTCCTTTAAATGTAAATCGATATTATATGAGATTGATAAAAGCAATACGTAAAAAAGAGTCAACAGCAGTTTGTCTTATTTTAAACACATGTCAGCAAACAATGGCCATAGATCGCGTAATGCTTGTCGTCTCTCGCACGTTGAGCGTTGCTATACTCGATTTCTTTTAATAATATTTCTGCTCAGACCATACTCCACAATAATTCTGCTTGGGTAAGAGATAATCTTTAATGATTGCCACTCAGTACTTAATAAATTAATTATGTATTTTCTTATTCTCAAGTTAAAGGAAAAGACGTTTATTATTACTACTAATGATGAGGCAGAAGTGTTCAAACAATCTTTTAACCTTCTTTCTGAAAAATGCGAGGAATTAACCCGTACCATTCAAGAGGCAAAGGACGATATTGGTGCGAGTGGTGCAAAACATATTGAAACAATTAAAGATACGACGAGAACAGTTGTTCAAGACTTTTTGAAAGAAGAACGTGAAAAAACGGATAAGATCCTCTACGATCGAGTCGAACGCCTTGAATCAGTAAGTTGGATAGCCTTGAGTTACATTTCTTTGCAATAAAATACAATAAGCTATTCGTAACCACTTCAATTTATTTTGTAAAAAATAGTATAATTATAACTGTTAATAGGAATGCTGCTTATATTATGATGGAAACAAACCCGTGAAATATTTACTAAAAAGGCTAACAAAACACTCGTCATCAGCAACGAGATTTTAAGTTATACGACTTATTGAGACATATAACAAGTGTAACTATCTACTTCTATTGTATCTTTTCCCATTATTTCATCTATTTTTCTTTCAGCGACTGGCATCATTAGAAACTGAATTTCACAAATTTGAAAGCTTGCGTGTTAAACATCTAAATCAATTAGACTTCGTACAGGCAAAACTTGGTATTGTACATTTCTATTAGTTTTTAAGGCTCATTGTTTTTGTTTTTTGAAAATACATGTATGTACACAATCTATGTGTGCAATTTTTGCACGTGATCTTTAAAATATATTAACAGTTATTTTAAACAGTTATTGTAATAGTTATTTTAACTGGTTTAATTATTTTGATATTTTTCAATCCTACAAACAAAAGTAATATAATCTTTACCATTGTGAAATTATATATTTTTTGTATTAACAGCACTTCAGAAAAGATTAGTACACCTTTACCAAACTCATTACATAAAAACATCGATTTCACCTTTGAAATCACAAGAAAACGACTTGAATATTGAAGACATGTACATATTTCCAAACATGACCGTGGAAGACAAGAAGAAAGGGGACAAGACACATAACTTACATCGGACAAGAGATTCACAATACATTTCAAGGCCCGTAAGTCATTATCGAGATATACTACAAACAAATGATAAACAACATAGAAGTATATATATTGTAGGCAACGTAGGTACTGGAAAAAGTGCCTTTTGCAAAATGATGATTCATAACTGGTGTTTAGGCATATGTGAGAGTGAACGGCAAAGGTCTGGTAACAGTCCTGACATCCATCAACAGGCTAAAGAAGATGTTAGTGTTGATGATGAAATTATGCATGAAAATGGTTCCTTAAAGATATTAGATAAAAATAAGTCTATGCCATCTGATGAATATGATAGCAGTGAAGATGGTGAAACAATACCTTCAACCGGAATGCACGTCAAAGGGGATTATAATGAAGTTTTTTCAAAAACAAACATTGAAAATATGAAAGAAATCAAACAGTTTGAGTTTCTCTTCTTCGTACCATTAGAACGAATGTCTGGTTATGGGAGTTTCATCGACATGATAAAATCATTTGCCACATCTACCGATCTTTCAACATCAGAAATCATAGATAGAATATTTGCCACAGAATCTGAACGCTGCCTTGTCATTGCTGACAGTTTGGATGAATGGATTCCTCCAGAACCTAAAGGTTTATTACCACATGAAAGTTACGGGTTACCCAGTAGAAACCAACTACAGGATGCAAGGATCATAACATTGTCTCGGCCTTCAGCAAAGGGTATTATCAACATGAAATCTTCTGAATGTGACCAAAGAATCGACTTGTTAGGAATAAATGTAAAACATATGAAAATGTTCGTAAGAAAATACCTTGCACAAAATGACCAAACTGATCAATCATGTAAATCATTTTTAGACAAAATTAGATTGAGCAAAATTGAAAAATTAGAAAATAATCCTCTGCTTTTACAACAGCTTGTATGGTTTTTCTGTATGGAGAATGATATTGGACGATCTGCAACTGATATATACAGTCATTTATTGAATATCATGATTGCTTGGTCAGAGGATAAAACAGGGGATGTATGTTTGCAAGATATGTTCCTCACCGATACTATAGTACTGCCCGATCTTTTACGCAGATTTCCAAGATGTGAGGAAAACAAACAATTTCTGTTTCAAATTGGAAGTGTTGCGTTCAAATTATTGGTGGAGACAAGAACAAGTACTTTCAGTCGGGTATTTCTAAAGGAGAATGGTTTATCAACACAATCAATACAGAAAGTAATCGATCTAGGTATTGTTGTTGAAGAGAAATGCTTTAATCCTACAAGAGAGAGAACTGCGTTGATATTCATCCATAAATCTTACCTGGAGTTCTTTGCAGCTCTTTATTTAGTCAGCCAATGCCACGGAGTGCATAATACTGCATCAGGGATGAATCAAAGCAAAACTACAGCGAATGTATTCCATGACTTGCTTAAAGATTTCGAGTCAGTTGCAGCTATATTGCAGTTATCAAACGTGTTGAAAATGGTATGTGGAATGTCACCCGGTTCTATTAAAGATATTACAGAGGTCATTTGCTATATCGCAAGCATTGATGATGATATGAGAAGGGACAGGGACTCGTACTTCTTTTACGAGGATAGTTTTCTGATAGACCAAATAACGCGTCTTATATCTGATTGCTTTCAAGAAGGAGACTTAAATGAGCAGGTGATGATACATATGTGTGATGTTCTTGTTTATTGTGGTACTAACGTTAATACATTGCACCAAATTGTCAAAGACAGCGTGATTAGTTTTTGGAATTATCAATATTTTGATTCGGAGTCATTTAGATGGGTAATAGGCCTTACTCGTCTTCAGTATATGGATGTTGCCATTTACGAGTTACCTCATGATTGTATGGAACAATTGTCATCATTCATACAGAAGTCACCTCTAAAGGTTATATCGTTGTACAGTTTAACTTGTACGACGGAAAAGTGCGAAGGTCATTTGCTTGACCTTGGTATGCAACAGAATATCCAGAAACTTGACATTATTTGTAAGAATGTAATCATTTCTGATATCAAAACTCAAAATCTAAAATATCTGCGTGTTAATCCTCATAGCATCTTGCATTTTCGTAATTTGTCAAACGCTGGATGCCTTACAGAACTGCAATTGGTAAATGATCTTGATAAAAGATTTTTATTTACTGAAGACATAAATTATGTTTTGCACACGCTTCACCAGCTAGAAACGTTTACGCTATTTTTTGTTGATATTGCCAGTAGGTCTTTAACTGTCGATTCAAATATGACGAATCTCAAAGAAATTTGCTTTTACGGGATCACAATGGATATGGAAACAGCGCAAATGTTTGTTGACAGTCTCTTTGAACTTCCAAATATTGTTAACGTACACAACCTCGGAGTGGATATAGATGCATATTTGAATGTTGTTAAACGTACAAATATGCTGGAAGTGACGCGTATGCCTTTGCCTTGTGAAAATGATGGATTGCAAAATTGTAAATTCAACACTGTAAAATGACTTTTCTCATCACAAACATCTTTAAACATGTGAATTCCAAGCCATCTGGCAAATTGTTCGAGTATTTAAAGTTTCGGGAAAAAAGTATGTTTGGTTCTACTACCATTTACCTGTAGCCATCAATAACACTTTACTGCAGTGATATTCAATTTGATTCAATTACTACATACATATAGCATGATCAAAGTGTTTTTATACCCCCACAAAACATAGTTTGTTTGTTGTTGTTTTTTATTTCCGGGGATGGGGCGGGAGGGGGGCTATATAGGAACACTTTGTCCAACTATCTCAAGAACTACTTAAGAATAAACTCGACTCACAACTCTGATAGTTAGTTGGAAAATAGCCAGAAATGTACCAAAGTAGCTATAGCTTTGTTTTTAATAACGAATTGGCTTCATACTTGGACACAACAATCATTCACGGCGACACAAACTTAAGTGACGACATCAACATCAGTATATTTCAGGCAGTCCAAATATATATCCGAAATAGCAAACGATTTCCATAGTCTATGCTACATCTACTGCTCCTCCAGTATACTTACCGAATAGATTTTCCTCTTTCTCTTTTCTATTTTTTATTACGTTATGTTTCTTTTCTATCTCAAGTTATGAAAGTCTAAAACTGAATACACTTATTAACAAGACAAGTATTGCATTATATCTATTAAGTCCCTGTTTCTACTCCTTTCAGGTATAAACACCTACTATATGTTTTTGTTTCGTAGGTCGTTATGCTATCTTTTTTCATGTTTCTTTAATCTACTAGTAATAATAATTATTTTCTCTTCTTATTAAATATTTCAAACGTTTTCAAACCCGTCTTATTTATAGTAATTAAATTTATGTTAGGAAAAGGCCTTTATAAGCATTTTATGTTTTAGGATCTGATCTTTTTTCAGCATTGTATTATGTTATACAATATTTATGATAATTTTGTCTGTACAAAATGTTCGAAATAAAAATATGTTTAAACCGATCATCTGTAATGCTCCTGTAAGTTGATTAGATTGACCTTGACCACGAGTCCATAAATGACCTTGACCTTAAAGATTAAAAAGTTGAACTTTTCTGATTTTTTGGTTGTTTTTTTTTTTTTTTTTTTTGCTGTAACTCTGTAACTTTATTATTTATGAATAGATTGTCTACTAGTATATATAAGGCACCCCATCTTTAAAGACAAAACCGTAATGAAAATCAAACTTGATTTTAACTTGACTTATAAATGACATTGACCTTGAATGTGAACTTATTAAATGTTGACTGTTCTTTGCTTAACTTGGCTGTAACTTTGCTATAAATGTGCAGAAATTATTTATACTTGGACAAAAGTTAACTATCAATAATCAGGCCCGTCGTCACGATTTTGTGTTGGTGCGGCCATTTTGATTGGTTTTAGGTTGAATCTAGGGGATACGGTGGCATGCTCCCCCGGAATTTTTTTTTTATTCTAGGATTCTCTCAGGGGCGTTTTATATTTGGCACAGTTTACAGCATGCCGCTAGTACATTTTATAGTAATATGTCAACGATTTTTTACAGATTTAAGTGCGTCGTAAGTTTTAAGGGCGCAAGACGGACGGACAGGTACATAAAAGATGAATACATGTAATTGATATTTGGCAAATGAAAAATAAAATATAACTGATGTAATTATAATTCTTTAGATGCATTTTATCTGATGATTATAAATAAACAAATAAAAGAAATATTACAGTACGTGGATTATTGTTTAGCATAAATCACATAATGGTATAAGCTTAAATAATAATCGATGACATGATGGAAGAATAATTACGAGTCAACAATAACCACTTTTAGTTTAGCAGTAACTTGTATTTTGTTAACAATAATCTTACACACCACAGAGTCTCATTTTATGTAAATTTTCAAAAAACTTATCGCCGTCGTTCTCTGGTGGTAATGAACTCATCGGCAATAACACGTTAGTTGAGTGAATCTGTCCTGTACTTATGAATATGTAACACAATTAGATTATTCAAACGTACTTGAGACATTGTCGATCTCAGGTATGTCTTAATTCTTCTGAACGCCGAGAATGTCCTTTCACTGGTAGTATTAGTAGCAGGCATTACTAACAAAATCTTTAACAACACAACGACCTCAGAGGACAGTGCTGACTGTTCTGGCGCAAATTTCAAAATGTCAGGTAAAATAACAGTACTATTTTCTGATTTTTCAAAATGTGAACGTAGCAGCTGAAGCTGCACATCTTAGATGTTTCTGTTAATATTGTTACCACAGAAATCACAAACAAAACCAAGTTCTCTAGTGTACTCGGTCTTCAAAGGTTGTGCGGCCTTTATAAGTAAATTCTCCACGTTTTGAAGTACGCGATATCCCGGTAGGTCAAATCTCTCTTTAACACTGGCGATGGCCGGAACACGTCCTGCACTGTAACGGGGTGGTAGCCAAAACCGTGTCCCATCTCGAATCGTGTGGGCGCCTTTCTCTTCCGCGGAACATTTGGATCGTTAACATCGACACGATAACTCTCACTTTGAAGTTTAATCCATAAAGAATCAAAACTGTCGTCTGATCTCATGTCTATCAAACTATATAGAGTCCGCTTTGCTAGCCGCTGGCCCTCGGATGCTGACAATAAAACTTGTTGGGGAGATTTGCTGAGGTTGTCTGTCAATGCTAGGATGTCGTGTGCGAGCATAACACCGAAAAAGTACTTGTAACTTGACTTCGTAGGACCCCTACATATACCTGGTCAATTAATTGTGTCCAGTTGTGTTTAGTAACGCATATACTCGGTATGTCAAAGGTCAAAATTGGATATCTTTTGTGTGCGGACAATTGTCAACTTTAAAGGATTTTGAAATTACTTGGCATAATAATTGTCTTGAGACGCAAAATTCATAGCGGAAACTCAAAGATAAAGGTCTTACTGAAAGATCATAGATCAAACTTGGACTTTTTCGTCTTGTGAAATATGACGGTCTTACGATACATAGGTAGAAGATTGGTCATACACGTGTCAATGGACAGGTTCAATAAAATAGCTGAATATGGGTCGTCTCCGGTCAAAAATTAGGTCACATTGCCCAAATATGGAAAAACCTTTTTAACACACTAGAGGTCACATGTTTGACTCAGTTGTCATCAAACTTGGCCAGGATGCTTGTCTAAGACATTGCTTGGATGCGGTTGATGGGTCAGGGGAGCGATCCAGGGCCATTATGGCCCTCTTGTTAAACATCTATGTGTCATAAAACACAATTCCTATCCTAGCTTTACTTACAAATTTCAAGCAGATGCATATTCATTTAATGAAACAAAAACAAAAACGATCAAACTGGAAAACAGGAAAATAGATACAAAAACAAAATACCGTTATATGTAATTTTGCACATGGAAGCAGTTATTTTGAGAGTCACTTAATTTCTATATGCCAACAAATACCTTCTCTTCACTGAGCCGAAGAGTTCTCTAATATTTGTAAAAGATTCTCACTGGTATTGAAATAAAACAAAATTCGGCATCCTCAGTTATAAACAATTTTGCATGCTGGATAAGGACTGAGACAATCATTGAAAAATTACATTTATTTCTAATACACGCATGGTAGATTGCAAATATCACATTCAATAAAATACGACTGAACATCCAATGGTTAAATATATCATTTTAGATTTGTTTTCTTCTAATCTTGGATAAAGGTAATGTTCTCTAATATACGTGTTGGTAAACCGTTTCGATGTTGGAGAGAGAATAGAATGAGAAACTGTACGCATGTCGGTTCTACTTGCTTAACACTATTTCTCATAAGGAGTATTTTCTACATTAGGTACATTAGGTAGGAAAATAGCTTGGTTTGATGTAATGGTTATAGATGATGTGTGTCTGCAAATTTAGATATGGGTTTTTGAATGAATTTTCCATAGGAACAAGCAATGCACTTTGAATTGGAACAGTCTAGTACTTCAGATAATGAGCCAAGCCAAAGTATTTCAAGAAAATCAAACTTGATAAAAATGTTCTGTTTTTTTCAAAACATTCATAAAAGTTAGCATGAATCTGTGGTCAGTCATGCTACTTTAAACTCGTTACAACTGTAGCATCTTACTTAATAGTGTAGATTTTCTAAAGTTTCCTTTTCTGACATGGCAAGGTTCACATTCTAGCGGATATTTTTTTTAAGAATAAATGAAGTAAGTCTGACTATTGACTTTGCGAAAGAACAAACACCACCGGGCGAACTGGTCTATTATCTTGGTACCTTTCACCCGGTGTAGGCATAACTGAACGAGGCTAACTAAAAGAAGTACAGTGTAATGACGATGGCCAAATGTACATTTATTACAGAAGATTTATTATGATCATTATTGCGAATTTCACAATCATCTTGAGTAAATAACAACGAAACCCCCTGCCAGCAGAGTCAGACATCTCGTTCCCTTTATTTCCTTTCTAAAAAACATGACATTTTAAACTTTTATAATGATTTGATTTTCCGACAGAGTTTAAAACAGCAAATTTGAAAAATAATTGTTTTATTTTGATTGTATGTTTAAAATAATAATCTTGTGAAAATTAAAGCCATTATCAACCCAAACTGAAAATACAAAGTCTGGATTGAATTGTTTTGTTAATTGCTTGTCAAATATCATCACGTATAGTTTGTATTGATTTTTACAGGATGCACTTCAGGTTTGACGAAGTAACAATAAGGATTTCATGCTTTTAGTGTATAATATTGACACTGGAATTAATGTTGATCGTTCTCATTGTTTCAGGCGTAAATGGTTGCTGGTTATTTAAATAAAAACAGAAGAAAAGAGAAACACTTTTAAATAAATGTATAGTTTCCATCAAAAATATCTCTTCGATGTAAAGAAGTTCTGAAATAAGTTTAACACTTTGAAAATAGCTGTAAAATTTTAGATAATCTAAACTCGTACAGATTTGCAATGCATCACATTTCGGTGATTCTTAATTATAGGTATATAAGGGCGACAGTGACGGGGGTCGATGATGACGGTGGTGTTAATTATAGTAATTAAAAAACAAAGGAAATTTAAACATTAATGTACCGTTAAATTGGTTTTTTTCTGTGTGACTGATATTATTTTAAATCAAATAAAACACACAAAATAGATTGAGAATAATCGTTTTAGAATTGCAACAGAAAAGTTACAATTTAATTAAAGGCATGTTACAAAGTCATGCGTAATTGTTTTAAACAGTTTTTTTGTTTGTTTTTCTTTTCACGAAGGAAAGTATTGTCAATATAAACTTTCATATTAATTATATTTGCACACTTTTAACGTCCACTTTGAAATAATAATAATAATAATAATAATATAAAAACAACAACAACAAACAACAAACAAACAAATATAACACATTGTATTATAACGAGGATGAGTGGCCATATATGCTAACTCATTACTTGTTGAAAGAGAAGGTAATTGGCCGTTGTCAAGGTCAAACTGCACTTCTTTGCAGCCCGATCATTGCACTTTAATGTTAATTGTCCTAATTTTTAATTTTATATATTGAAAATTTAACCCTGAGTGTACTGGTCTAAATATAAAGCAGAGCATTACGAAATTTGACCATGTTAAGGGCTTATAGATATAACTGGCATATCTACGTAATCATCGATGTAAAATGCCACGTCCTTTATCCATTAGCACAATCCTAAGAATGAACATGTTTGCCTTATTTCGTACATTTAGGCTCCATAACCTAATACAGATTAGCGTGAGCATAATTTTCGTTTTGCACTGTATGTAGAACAATTACGTGTATAGTCTTGACACAATAAGCAAAAATTCATTCTTAGTTAATTTTTAAGTCTGAGCAGTTTGAAATAAATCTACAGATTGTATATATCCACTTAAAACATCATGATTGTTGTTTCTCATAACAGAGAATTAATGTTTGATATATTGTATGTGTTGTTCGCCGTTGGTGTACCAGAATATTCATGCGAGTCAAAAGGATTTGTGTATATTGGTGCAACTAGAGGACAATATTTGAATAAAACACATGAGCCTAATATGTTGGCTTGTGCTAGAAAATGCTTGGAGACTACCGCACAACTTCACGGCTGTAAGGCTTCTAGTTTCAATTCCGATGAAAACGCTTGCAGGCTCCTATTGACAATTAACAACACTTCAGCAGAAGATACCATACAGCCGCATCATAA